TGCAATGCAATGTGACACAACAGCCCTGCAAATCTCCAAAGGGCCGCCCCGCAAGTCACGTACTGTAAAAAGGGAAACCGCTGACTGCATTTTTGGGTCTAACTTTGCCTAAATCAAATTTAGCCACATTCTATATAATAAACAAATAATACATTGTTGCTTGTAGATATGGAATATCAACTTTGTATCTCACTTGATCGCTGCACTCGCGAGATATTCAACTCAAAGAGATATTCCATATCTACGAGTGCCCATGTATTATCCTCTATATATACCATAGTGGCTTAGCCAATGAAAACTCTTGAATTGCATTTTCCAATTATCCAGTTAGCAAGTGTATTGTAAAGTTGAACAACTGAGCAACATGTTTTTAAGGATGTCTTTATTTAGGAAAATTCCAAATTACATTTCTTCGTGTCCACCTTGTTTGTTCTTTTCACATAAATTTCGAATTTTCTACGATGTTTACGTTCATTTTCATTTTAGGGCAACTTATTAATTTCTACTTATATTATATTAAATTTAAATTTACTTCATTGTGAATTTTCAAAGCAGTATAACTTCCACCATAAGTTGTGAAGACTTAACTGAACTATTCTTTTCTCTAGATCAACCAATCAACAACTTTTTCCGCTGTTTTTACTGTTTTGAATTTTACTAAACCTGATTTCCCTTGTTGATCACTGATGAATCATATGACTTCTTGCGCTGTTCACATTTTTCGCATGAATTTACTAGCGAAGAACTTTCTGCACTCTTCAGAGTCAATTTTTGTGGGTATTTGTATTTGACAAAAAGGGGAACGCAGTCCTTATGCAGACTGGAGTGAGATTTTATTGGACAAGGGATGGAACTTGGGATGGAAAATTGGCCTCCCCGCAGCAGGGGTGAAAACAAATGAAATCATCACAAAGCATGTGCCTATGAGTCAGGTTTGATTTCTCAATCGTTTGCTTGTTTGCAGTTATGATTCTGTGCCGTGCAAATCAACACAAATGTGGCCTGTTGACACTATTGGCATTATTTTATATCTGTTGACACTATTTTATACCTGTCTGTAAAACCTCAGTTGCTGATAAGAAAAATGTTGATTTTAGCAGTAATAGACAGAGATTGAAAGTCAGGTAGTGAACTCCCATAATTTTTGATTACTACTAGTTTATCCAACTCTTTTGGTATATTCTAGAACAATTGTTCCCTCGGTTGTGGTGGCTTGTGATGGAAATTTACCTCGCCACTTCATGGATAGCTATTTGTTTGCATCTTGTTTAGTTTGTGTGTGTTTTATCTTTGATTATGCATGTGGCAACTAAGGTAAAGCATATTAATTTCTTATCTACTCAGCTTGTTTAGTTTTCTTACTATTCTGAGTAGTTTTTTGCCCAGTTAAGTTAGTTGCTCTTATGCTGTTTTTTAGATTTAAAAATCTGGCCAAGTAAAATGGTTGTTGTATATCCACCACTTAAAGCCACCTCCTAACCGGGGAGTAATTGTCAACTCATGCAAAAGTATATCAAACATAAAAAGTATAGGCAAAATCGAACTTTTGGCTGTCGCTCTGACTTTGATAGTTGTGCTTTTGCTGTCATTTAGTCTTATTTGTCATTCAGTGGTTGAATACGTTTACCTCATTTGCTGATCTGCCAGTTTTATTTTATTTTGTACGATTATTGTGTTGATCATAGGCTCGCTTGAAAACCTCTGTTCTAGACCTCAACTTGCATCTACACTAATAAGAATTTCTTTTTTTGCTATTTCAGCAGATTGCAGTGTTTTTCCACTTATACACCAGTCTTGACGCAGAGAGTGTCAAGGTCATGACATCAGACAATCGCACAATCCAGTTGGATCAAGCTTGCACTGGACAAAAACGTTACTGGATCAATCAGAATCCTTTCTATCTGCCTAATGATCAAAAGGTATTTCTTTATCACTACATTGCCACATTTAAGAAAGGCTTACTGAAAAGGTTTTTTCAGTGGGTATTTAATGGCTCAGGTGAGGGTTCCACTGAATTAGTTCAGGAAAAGAAATTTCGGAAATTGAATACTTCATGCAGAACACACCAGTACGACATCTTCCGTTTTTCGTCAAACAAGGAAAGTGACCAGGTTCTTTTTGCTGGTTATTTTTTCTTTGTTCGCATGCTGCACTCCAAGCTCCATGTTGGTGGGGGAAATGACTTTCGACAAGTCCTTGTCGAATGTGAAAAAGTGCGTTTGGGCTTTTCCTGGATTGAAAAAGAGGACACAATTGCATTCTTAAAGTGGATTGAAGAAGTAATCAGTAAAACAAGCACTTGGCAGGATGTTGTTTTTGTTTGCTCTATTCTGGGACGTTTCGTGGAATTAAGGAACTGTCATGATATCTTTCATAACATGCCATCAAAGACAGCTGACAGCCTACTGAATCTCCTGACATATTGTGAGTACGACCACATTCCACAAAGCAGTGTGAAAATGATCAGGTTAGTTGCTACACGTCTGCTTCAAGCTGGTTCTCAGAGAGGATGGCTAGCGTTTCTTAGCTACTTTGCCAATTTGTTTGAAGTTGACAGTCTGCTTCAAATTGCAGTCAATCTGCCAATGCAATATAAAGATGAACACTTCAACAGCCTTGCAGGTTATGTTGTAGATCTGCTTGGGTCATTGGCAGAGGTCAACGACAGCAGACAGATCTGTGGTTTTGTAGTAAACAACTGCCATTCCATAGGGTGCCTTTGGCATCTTTATCGTGAACTGTCAGTCCGTTTACCTAATCTTTCAGATTCATTAGGTGAAGAATTCTCGCAAAGGTTCTGTAAGTTAATTGCAGGCCGAACCAGGGCACAAAGGATTGATCTCTGGCAGCGGAACTATTGGGACATGACACCCACCGCAATGAGGAAAAGATTAGCTGACCCATTTGTGGAGGCTTTGCATCAACAGGTCGTGCATGGCACCTTGTCCCAAGAAATGCTTGTCACTTTGAAAGCATATACTGCTGATAAAGATATTTGTGCATCAAAATGTTTTGTTCCCTTTATTCTTTGTCTTGCGCAGAACAGGAATGAAGGTGTCATCAATGCTGTGATGGATATGCTGAATTCTAACAGGTTCATTGAAGTCTGGAATTCTTGGAGAGACGCTGAAAAAGCAGAGATGTGCAGTTCCCTGCTCAAAACTATGTTTCAATTTCAAAACCCTTTTGGCAGAAGACGACAGCAAGAGAAAGTTATCCAAGTTTTGGAAGCAGAGAAGAAGATCTGTGAAACGTATACATTGCAAAATGACCAGAAGATGAAGATGGAATTGGAGGAATGTGCGATTAAACTCCTGCAAAATGTTAGCATTAAATCCATTCTTGATGCATTTGTAGACACTGACAGCTCGTCACAAGTGATGCAGTCTTGCTATTCGTCGCTCCTGAGAGATGCTGTTAAACGAAGAAGTGGAACCAGTGGTGATACTTCCGAGATCGAAACGTTGCTCCACCTTCTGGACGTCAAAAAGAAGGGTGACAAAAATCAAACAACGGGATTTGAAGGGTGAGTGTTTACAGCTTATTCAATGACGTTTTCGTAGTGTTCTTGTGACACTGAAAAGTATAGTAAAATTCTAGAAATATAAATCCCCCATTCAGTTACTCGAATGATATTCTCATTCCTTCGACAGCACTTGCAGTTTCCCTTAAGGACTGTGCCTACTTTTGTTAGTGCGCACACGTTCTGCGCATCACGCAAGGCATGGTTTAAGCGCCACCCGCGCGCTGGGTTGACATGACGCAATCAACTACGCTACCAAGTATACGACTAAATTGAAAGCAAAATTTTCCTACTGTGACCAAATTAAGTTTAATTATCCTGTACTTAAATCAGGATCATCAGAATAGCAGCTTATCGCTAACCACTAACTGTTAACGTCTTCCAGCTGAAAAACTAGCTGTTATCTGTCGAAAATTATACTGAACTCCAACTGTAAACATGTACCTGCAGATGACGTAGTGCGCGCGCAAAGCAAGTGCGAGACACGCAAATGTTTCACTTACTGGGGAGGTGACAGGAAAAAATGTAACAGGCACCGTAAAAGGTTTAAAAAAGTATCAATAACTTTAAAAAACGCGTGGCTACCCCTATATTTTATGTTATGAAGTGGAAGTGGCAAGCCTATTGAGCAGGTGATTGGTTTCTGGTTGTGAGCAAAAGATATTTAGGCTGTATTTTAGCTGAAACAGAGGAAGGCTGTCAGAGACGCTGAAAGTGCTGTTGCAACGATTTTTTATTAAAAACATACCAAAAATGGTTTTATGTTACCATTTACCATGTAGTTTTCAGATAAATGTGTTTGCCTTTCTGTGTGTAAAGGCGAGTTCTAAAGAAAGCTGTGAAGAAATATCCTCTCCTATTTTCAGAAAAATGCTGATGTCAGCATCTTTGTTGAGATTCAAGGCTAATTATCTCGAAAAAATGCGTGGCTACCCTCTTTTTTCTTTATGGATTCCGATAGCCCTTGCAAAGATCTGCTTTTTCTGCAAGGTCCTAACCTGGCGCAAAAACCTTTGTATTTAGTAGGCACCGTCTTTAAGTCTCTCCCCTGTTAACTCAAACGCAGAGCAAAGTTATACCATAATGAGCGGCAATATCAGAAACCAAGCTGTAAATTACTCTATTTTGAATGATTATGGTAGATTTTGCCGATCATGATACCACGGCCTAAGGACTATGAATTGAGTATTTATTGAGTAAATTACCGGATTGGCTAATTTCCAGAATCTCACGGCTAATACGGAAAGCAGGTAAAACTTCCCTTTTTCCTTAATTCATTTATAAATATTAAATACCTCTTGTCTATAGATCGTTTTCATTTGATGTCTTCATTTTCTAAAATCGAAAACTAAAGAGCCACCAAAGTTTTTATGCCCATCAGACATGAGAGGCGGTAAATTTATATCTGTTTACAATGTTACAGCTCAGTAGTGTGCGTTGTTTGAAAACCAGCGTATTTTGAATTTCAGAGTTATGGCGGTGCGTGGCACAAAGCTACAATTGCATTTGTCGAAAAATATATACATATCTCATGATTTTTAGCTTTTTTAGGAGTTAGATCATTAGGAAAAGTGTTTATGAAAATGTTAGTTTCTTCAGTACAGATAATCAGTCGCCTAGATAGCCAAAGTAAGTTCCAGATGTTTACACTATTTTCCAGCCGCCATATTGGTACACCACAGAGGTGCACCAACGTGGGGTTTCCATACCGGGCTCTGTAAATTTCTAGGAAATATTTTGACAAATATCTGCAGTCTGGGAAAATGCACAAACCTAAAACTTGGAGAAGTGCCTTCTCTATCTATTTCCTATAAGATCATAATTTCTTGACTTATCCACTGAATGGTTTGTGATTTATTTTTTTATTGCGTGACAGTGAAAACGATCTATAATAGAGATGATAAACCCTGATTGTTTCGAAATCAATGCAGTGTATATAGAATAACTACAGTTATAATTATTATAACACTCACAGGTCTAACTAAAAGTGTTTCACCTGTTTCTTGAAAACATTGCAAGAGTATGCAATTAGTTTGGTTTTATTTATGATTGTGTCTGAATGTACGTGTACAATTTGAACTGTTAATTTCAACTTTAAACCTAGGGCACATTGGGAGCTACTTGTGTATCTTTTGGAATTGGCCAAAATTCCTGCAAACCAAAGTGATGTGGAAGAAGTTCTGACGAAGATGTTACCAATGAAAGAGGTGTGGTTTTTCTTGCTTCGGATATTAAAACCCACAAGCAAACTACACAGTCTTCCTGAGGTTAAAGTAGTTATCTCGGCCTTGAAGAGTTTGAGGGCTTTAATAGTAGAGCACAACATTCGGGTGGGTTACCTTCTGCAACTTCAAGAAGCGGAGACTACCTCACTGGCAAAATTGTGCTCACTAATTGATGCTTCTGAAGGAAAACTGTCAGAACAGTGCCGCAGTGAATCAACGTGGAAGAATGAAATCTGGACAGATTGCAAGAAAGCTCTCAAATTTCAAAAAACATTTTCAAAAATGGAACACTCCATCCAGTTTGTCCAAAGGGTAGTGGACGGTGTTGCAGAAATAGGAGATGTTGCAGAACTAAGCAAAGAAATAAACAAGAGGAAGAAGTTCTTAAATAAATCCTTGAACGAAGTGTTGGATGACAGTTACTGGGGTTCTCTTCTGTTTCCTCTTATTGAATCTGCAGAGGTTCTTGATAACTTGCAGCAAAGTAACTTTTTCTTCAACATAGCGCGTGCTCTCCTTAAAACTGAAAATGGTGGAATGGTGGCGAACCCTGAATCTGGCTCAGCTGATCAAGTTATGCAACTGCTTAGCAGCAAAGGAATCGAAAGGCTTCAAAAGGCTTGTAATCCATTGTTCAACAGAAACAGTGATCCTGCCATTCAAGAAGTGCAAATTCTTCTTTATGGAATCAAAAATGCAGATGACTTGCACAAAGAGCTTCAATTTATCAGCGACTACTTTCGAAGGCCAGGAGTCACAAAGGCAAAGGAAAAAATGCTTGTCGATTACTTGAAGTATCCCCTCGTCCAAGAAAAGGTCAAACAACTGGTATCAACATTGGAAGTGTTTGGATACAACAACACTAACTGTTCCATGATAAAGAATTATCTCGAAGAGTTTGTCACACCCCTGCACCTGAAACCCATGACATTGAAGGGTCTTTGTGAATCATTGGAAACGGAGACCATGGTCACAGTAGACAGCAGCCTTGACAAAGATCTGACCAACGTAGTCAGTGTCCTGTCAGAGTCTCGTGAGCTACTTTCGTTCGTAGAAGAGACAGTCGGAGAAGATATGGTGGTGCTGATAGACGTTGTAGAAGAACATTCAGACCAGTTTGTCTCAGAAGCTACTGTTTCACACTTGATTGATGTTCACCGATTTTTGAAGAACATTGTGCAAGACAAACCAGCTGACCCCATGGCATTTTTACATCTCCTGAAAAACTGCTATGACAGCCTGCAGGGAAAGCAGGGAATGGCTGCTAAAATAGATGAATGTAGTCGCAATGTGCACAGTTTGAGGGCTCTCTACACGAATGTTGCTAATCGGGGGGAGATGACAAAGGAAATTATAAGCAATGCTCTGAAGAGAGGACGTTACCAGCTCGGACGAAATGATGATGGTTCCTGGGAAGTTTTGTTGACCTACGAGAGGCAGAAGAACAGTGGCCAGAGTGAAGGAGGAGACGGAGGCAGACCAGGTCCAAAGAAGAGTGATCCACATACCTGTTACAGATTAACAGACCTACAAGATTTACGGAGTCGCGCCCTCCTCATCGTCAATATCGACTCTAAACATCACAGTGGTAAGGCACATGGTGACGGGCACACCAAATGTTCTGCAGCTGACTTGAATGAGTTTGTGAAGCAGGTTGACCAGATAATGGAGATACTGAGCGTAGCTGCTGTGCTTCATAACACTGGCCACCCAGACTACAAGGCATTTTGGGTGAAACTTTCTTCTGCCCATGAGATTGAAGAAAAAGCCCGAACCATGGCACAGAACATAACACAGTGGAAAGCTATACTAGAAGCTATGCAGAAAAAGTATTTCTTTTTGAATTACTTTCATCCTGATCAGCTGTGGATTCTCAGTGACTTCTTTGCACAAATGCCTGCATTTGGTGGAGGGGAAATATCCAAGAAGAGTGTCGTACATGATCTCCTTCGCTTTATAGAACCTTCTCTTACAATAGATTCCCTTGATACACTTTCTGGTTTGTATCAAAATCCCAAGAGAAAGACGTTGGAAGGAGATTTATGCGCCATTGGAGAGGCGTTGGATGCTTTTTTCCTCCCCTTGGCAGAACCACCGTTTTACAAAGTACCCCAACATCATCTTCAAGGGGCAGTACAACCTGGTGAATTGTTTCTGGCTGTGCTGGAACAAGGAAGCACACAGACTGTCCATGTGGTGATGTCCCTTTTTGAGTTGACGACAGGAACACACCCAGCGCCGAATCAAGTTCTTTTTTGCAATCAAGACACAAGTTGGGAAGAAATTCAACGCCTGTTACGAAGATCATTTGAAGCTTACAGGCACCCAAAGGGACCCACATTACACTGCCTAGCCAACGTGGAAAGCCTGCCAAATGACATGCAGTTTGATTTAGTGGCTGGTATAAAAGATCTCCAAAGTGTTTCTAATGACCCATACCTTCTGAGCCTTGTTTGTCGAGGAGGGCCTCATCACCACATTGTGGATCAGTTTGCATCAGGTGCTCGCAATGTTACAGGTATGACAGAAGTCAAACTAAGAGTCAAGTTCATGGAAACATTGCCAAACGTTTCTGTAGTTACCTCAGACCTCCCAGGTATGGGAAAAACAGAAACTATCTTTAGTGAGGCAATCCAAAAAGAGAAAGCTATTGTAACATTTCCTATAAGTGGACCACTGTCTCGCAGTAATCTTGTTCATCGACTGGCGAGTCTGCAAATGAGAGAATGTGATTGCATTCATCTGGACATCGGTGAAGTCGATAATCCACTTGCTCTGGATACATTTTTATTTGAGCTTGTTGTCATGGGAATGGTTTCCTCAGGGACACAAATTTATCATCTTCCCACTAAGCAAGTGTACATAGAAATTGCAAACACTTTGAACGACTGGCTACAAGACTCATTACCGGTTACAAAATGCTTCACCTCAATCCACGTCAAGTTTGAGGGTTACAAGCATTATGTGGTTAGTGTGGAGTCCTCAAGTCCTATTCAAGTGGTTTGCAACTATCTTAATGCTTATGAAGTTGGAACCTTGGAGAGTAAGGAGGTTATATTCAGTGGTCCCAACAAGGTGAAGCCACTGCAGTGCGAAAGATGCATAACACTTCTACAGAAGTACTTTTCTACTGGAGAAATCTCCTATAACATCGTCGAGAACTTTCTTGGAGTATTTGCAGATCAACTCCTTAAATTTTCAGCAAGTCCTTTCCTAAAACCAAGTAATTTGAAAGCCATGCTTGGTCAATCACACGATGTGCGAACGCGCTTATTTGAAGCACTTTTACAGGTTTCAAGAGAATTTGCAGTTCGATCTGTCGTCACTTGTAAATCGGTACAGTCAGAAGCTATCTCAGACCAGCAAGCAACAGAAGTGCTCAAGCAGGCCCAGTTTTCGTCTGTAAAGACTGCAAGTAAGATGATCGAGCGTGTGGATGGCATGATTCAGTGGGCCGATAACAATCACTTGCTACTAATTTTTCAGAGAGCATTGACAATTTCTGTCTTGTATCGGGAGCTGCTTTTAGTGCCTCCAAGTGTCCGAACTCTGTATAAAATTCAAGAAGGAAAGGAGTTAGAAGACTACGCCAATTTTAATCAAGAGAAGCTCCAACAGAAGCTTGAACTTTTAGCAAGGGCAACTGAAACAACTGAACCAGCAAGCCATGCTGATCCATCTTTAAAGTATGCCTTGACACCGGATAATATCCTCAAAATGGTCCTTATATTGCTTCGCATTAGAGCCAGTATTCCAGTAATTATTATGGGAGAAACTGGATGTGGTAAGACGAGCCTTGTGAGATACCTTGCCAAAACCTGTGATGTTCCTCTTCATGTTTTCAATTTTCATGCTGGTGTTACAGAAACTCACATCATAAATTTCGTGGAAGACATAAAGAAAGAAGCTTTGTCCCCAGAGAGGCGTAAGCAACCGGTGTGGGTATTTCTTGATGAAATCAACACCTGTGACTACATTGGTACCATTAATGAGATCATGTGTCATCGCACTATCACAGGAAAGCCACTACCGTCCAACGTTGTGTTCATTGCTGCTTGTAACCCATATCGACTTCGCCCAGTGGGAAAGATATTAACTTCAGGCCTTGGTGAGAAAATTTCCACAGATGAATACTCCAGACTGGTGTACCGTGTTCACCCACTTCCAGAGACAATGATTGATTATGTCTGGGATTATGGCTCGGTAAGCCCGGAAGATGAAAGAAGATACATTGCTCGGATGGTGGAGGGTGTTTTTGACAACAAGCATGGACGTCTGCTGGTTGAAGTTCTTTTTTCTTCCCAGAGATTGATTCGAGATTTTGAACACACACCATTTTGTGTGAGTTTACGAGATGTTCATCGCTGTATTGTTCTCATGAACTGGTTTCATAGGATTTTACAAGAACGGGAAAAACTTACACCAGCCAAGATTCCAACCCATATCCAAGGCTACTATGAGCAAACTCGCAGTGTTTCACTAGAGGTGCGATCTGTGGTGTTGGCACTGGCTCACTGTTACCGGTCACGTCTGCAGACAGCAAAGAGAAGAGAGGAATTTGACAGTGAGATATCAAACCTTATTGGAAAAGCAGAGCAAGGTTTTGAAGCTAAACATTGTGATGCCATTGTCAGGGTGGAGCAGGAAGAATACTTGGCCCGAATGGACCTTCCTGACGGAACTGCTAAAAACGCTGCTCTTCGAGAAAACGTCTTTGTGATCCTTGTTTGTATTCTAAACCGCATTCCTGTTTTTGTTGTTGGCAAACCTGGTTGCAGTAAGTCCTTATCTATGCAAGTTATTCGAAGCAATTTGAGGGGCAAGGATTCAAAGGATCCTTTCTTGAAACAGCTTCCTCAACTGTATGTTGTATCATATCAAGGTTCCGAGTCATCAACTTCTGAAGGGATTCTCAAAGTATTTGAGAAAGCGAGGAGGTATAACGTTGAAGGTGCAAATGATGTTCTCCCAGTCGTTCTTTTGGACGAGATTGGCTTAGCTGAGGTGTCCGCTTTCAATCCTTTAAAAGTTCTACACAGTTTGTTAGAACCTGGTAATGGGCAACTTCCTGATGTCGCTGTGGTTGGTATTTCTAACTGGTGCCTTGACCCTGCCAAGATGAACCGTGCTATTCACCTGTCCCGACCTGAGCCTGATATTCAAGACTTATTTCAGACTGGTCAATCTATCAGAGAAGCACAATTGGAGCAAGGAAATCTCGCGATGGGCACATCGCCCGGATACATCCACGCACCGAGTTCGTACCCAGATGATTATCAGCTTCATTGCCTTGCAAAGGCCTACCAGGAATACCAGAAAGCACAAACACATGAGAATTTCCATGGACTTCGCGACTACTATTCGCTAGTGAAATCATTGAGTTCTTCCAATTGTGACAAGTCTATTGCTCATCACCAGGACGACCAAAAGACGACAAGAACCCAGCGTGCCTTACAGAGAAACTTTGGAGGTCTTCCCTTTGAGCTGAATAAGATTCAACAATTGTTTTTAGGACATTTTCAGTCAAAGCGTGTATTAGAAGACACCCAGTCCTTTCCTGTCACAGATCTTATCTGTGATAACCTTCATGACAAGTTTGCGCGTCACATGATGTTAATAACAAATGGAGACTCTGCCATTGGTATTCTAGACCAAACGTTGAGGAGTTTGGAGAAGGAGAAGGTCACAATCTTTGGAAGTCGCTTTGAAGAAGACCAGTCAGAGGAGTATAACTACAACATCCTAAGTCGTATCATTCTTTGCATGGAGAGAAATTGTGTGCTAATTTTACGTGATTTAGAGAGCATCTATGGAAGCCTCTACGACATGCTGAATCAGAATTACACTGTTGTTGGACAGAAAAAGAACTGCAGAGTTGCTCTTGGACCTTTCAGCAACCCAATGTGTCAAGTTCATGATGGGTTTCGTTGTATTGTGCTTATTGACGAACAACGGGTTGATTACACGGATCCTCCTTTCCTTAATCGTTTTGAGAAGCAGCTGCTACGCTTTTCAGATGTCCTAAACGACGATGAGAAGGATGTCATCTCTAGCCTCCGAGACTGGACTAAAGCTATTTCAACTGTTCAAGAACTTGAGTCTCATTTCAATGAGACAGACATGTTTCTGGGCTTCAATGAAGATACTCTCCCATCCCTGGTTCTCCACTTTAACAAAGATAAGTCAATCAAGAAACACAAGCTTGCTGAGCTGTGCAAGGAAGAACTGATGTCGATTGCAACACCAGATGGCGTCTTAAGAAGCTTGAGGTCTGATTTGTCTACACAAATGATGGATGAGGTGCAATTGCTCTTCACCAACTATTTTTCAAAGCCTGTTCATAGTGGCCTCAGAGAATATCTCCGACAAGTTCTAGAGGATCTTCAAACAAGGTCTGAAGATCAAAATGATACAAGGAGAGGCATGAAGCTGTTAGTAATGACCCACAGCAATATCCATACAAATGTCGCACGGTTTTTAACTGGTCTGGGGAATTGCCAAGCAGAAAAACTAAGTGCTTTCAAGTCAGAGAAACAACTAGCAAAGCAGCTGCAGAGCTTCTGGACATCCAATGCAAATATGCTTGTACTTCAATGTAAGCCTGACCTTGATGCTCCTCATATGCTAGTTGCTAAGCATCTCATCGAAGACCAGAGGAACGCCTACATTTCCTCCAAATCTGGAAATCTTCAGCAACTTACCAAACATGTTTGTATAATCGTCCACGTCCAACGTGCAAGCAAATGTAAAGTGGTAGAAAGTCCGCAGTGGCAATTTAGCTTCCTAAGTGGTTGGCAACAGGTGACAATTGATACGCTAGAAGAACCAGTTATGCCAATTATGGCTCTTTTGGAAGAGAACGTCACAGATCTTCTCGATACCGAGTCGTTTTCCTTTGAAAGAATCGCGTCTGACCAGCTGCTGTGGTGTTTCACCCGTATCAAGTATTCATCAGTACAACAACCTACTTTAGACGCTGTTTTACACCTGGTAAAGCAGCTGAAATCGTCCCCTACGATGATGAAGTGTTTCAAGAAGATTGTCGTCAACTTGCTAAGGAAGAAAGAAAACGGAAAGTCTCACGATTCTCTACAAAGTTTGTCCTGGCTAGTGATAGTGGCAAGTGATCGCCTGGCTCTAGTGAACTCCTCCACTTTGGTTGGTGCCATTGAACATCATTTCAATCATCTAATACAACAACCACTTGCAAAGATTGTGTACTTCTTGGAGAAAGAGTCTGCCTGGCCAAAAGAGATGTTTTCATTTGAACCTACTTCTGATGACAGCTTGCACGTTTGGACAGAGTTGTTGCTTGACGAGGCCATCTTCTGCATTGAAGATATTCCTGAATCTCAAGGCGCCGAGTCTTACCTTGTGTCGGGTCATCGCCACAAGCTGGAATTTCCTTTTTCCTCTGTTTTTGCCAAGAAAGTGGACAAAATCAAGTCGCTGTTCATAGATGACGTCAGGCGTCTACAGTTAGAAGATGCTAACCTCGATGAAAATGGAGAATTGGAAGCTGATGTGTTTGAAGCGCAGCTTCGAAGATTTTTGCCAGAAATAAAGAGGACAATCCAGCAGGTGTTTGATAATGAACATCTTCAAAGTATTCCTCAGTCTTATGTCAATGATCTCCTTGACTTGAAAACAGCTTACTTTGCTGGGGTTCTTCAACGGGATGACCGAATTGATCTTTTGAAGTCGGTGGTATCAGAGCATATAAGAGTACCAGCAAGTGGAGATTTTGCTCTTCTTATAACTCAGTTGCACTGTGCCTTTTGGATGAAAGAAGCCTTCTTCCTCTCTGCCCTTCATCTGTCAGTCAAATGTCGTGATATTGTACCCGTGGATGTAAAAACCTTAACCTCTCCGTTTGTGGTCACCTTCGACAAGATGATGTTTGAAAAGCAGTATTCAACAATGTTCGAAACTAACCTCAGTGGTTCACCGGAGTTATTTGAAGGCAATGAAGAGGAAACAGAAGGAGAAGTCGAAGGAGAAGGCCCAAAAATGGAGGTACAAAGGGAAGTCAAGGACATTGGGGAACAGGAAAATGAAGACGAAAGCAAAGATATAGACGAGAATGACATTCCACCAACATTCGTGGAACTACTGGTTGAAAGCTTTTGTAGCGCTCTATTTCCTACAGCCGATTTAGTCGAACGGTTTCAAGATCCAAGTCACTGGCAGCGATCGGTCAGTCTCCTTCTGTCAATGGTGAGCAGGATGCAGCTTTCAGTCCCTGCCTTCCATTTTCTGAGACTCTGCCACGATTTTGTTTCATTGGTATTGTCACGAACTCCTATCGATCCTTGTACTCTCTATAGGATGGGGGAAATTGGTCATATGTACGCTTCCGAGGGATATCTGGACTCTCAGGATTGCTTTGAGCAGATTGAAAAGCTAGTAGGTTCTCTTGAAGATAAAGATAAGGACTTTAACAACTTGAAAGAATTCCGCGTCCTTCTCTACACACGTTGCATTGACTCTAACCCAGACACACCCTTACGTGGGGTCATTTTGAGCAGAATTTCTTGCAGTGGGGACAACACGCTTGTAAAGCTCGCAGGTCCTGTTGTACATCAGATTTTTTACGTTGAAAATCACTGCTGCCCTGGTATATTTGAAGAGCTCTTACATGATATTTCCTTAATGGAAAATCATCCAGGCCTTAAAGATATGTGTCATGCTTTGTCAGCACTAACTGGAGACGTTGAACTTGATTGTCCTTTTGTCGTTATGTGCTGCGATCTTATCTTAGATGTTGGTTTCCCTCTAATCGATTTAGCCACCACATCTGGATCAAGCGACAAATGTATTGGAAACCTACGAAGGGCAGCAGAAATTGTATCCAGGCCTTGTAAAGGAGGTGAAACGGATGCCTTTTCCCTGGTGTGTGCTATGGCATACTTGAGGTCGTTTCTCAGTTCCTTTGCTAGGCTGACGTTGAAAAAGCCTAGTATTCTGGCCAATGACACAGAGTTTTCAATGCTTGTAAGAGAAGTGAATCCAGTGCTCCTCTCAAATGAAAATCGTTTGGCCTCAGTCAGGACATCGCAGATAAGATTGTACTTTCTTCGAGAGCTTCGGAAAGATTTGCCACTTCACGCCATAAAGCAAATCGTTTGGGGCAACAAAAAACTCCCGGCACTAAAAGCCTTGGAGTGGCACGCAGAAGACCAAAATTTGGTTGGAAAACTAAGTTTTGACCCTTTCATTGCGCTAACAGAGAAAACTACAGCCAAGGGGGCTTTAGCGAGTCTGATATATGAGAAAAAACAAGAGCCACTCAGAAGTTTACTTATCAACTTGCAGCAAACATCTACCCAAAAGATTGAGCTTGCAGCCGTCTTGACCAAGTGGTTTTATTTGGTGCGATCCATTCGAAATCTAGGAGATTCTGAAGAGAAAGCCATAGATTTTGTCAGCGATGAGATCAGCAATTTGCCACCACCTTATGCCGCACTGCTCCAGCGAGTTACTGGAAAGAAAGATTTCCAAGTTCGAGAACTTTGTATCTCGCCAGAATCCTCCCCAAGGGATGTCCACAGAGCAGCATTGATCCTTCATCTCTGCATTTTGTTGACGTCAAATTACACTGGGACGAAAAGCGAACTCCAGGCTTTCTTTTCCTACCTTGTGAAGCCACGAAGGACAAGGGACACATTCATCTTGGCATCAGCTAATAGCCCACAGTCCCCATATGAAATGCACCGAAATTCCAGTTCTATTTCTGCAGACACGTCCTTTTATTTCTGCTCCTGTGGTACGTTATCTTCCTCGAAACATTTGGGAGATTCTGCTACTTGCCCCGAATGCAAAACATCATGCACAGTTGAAGTTGAACAAAAAGAAGATGAAGGACTTCACAAGGCATGTTCACCAGTGAAAGGCTACATTTTACTCCCACCATCAGATGACATTTTCTGTTGTGTGAGATCTTTAGGCCCTTCAGATTTCCGAATAATTCATCTTCTTGTACACGGAGCATTGTATGGAGGACTTGCACTTGGAATAGTTCATGCTGAATCTTTCGCTGCAAACATGGTCAAGAAAGACGAAGGAAACAGTTTTGCTGATGTTTGTTTCCAGCACATTGTCAGTGATATTTCTGCTTTGTGCCATCTCTTTAGTTGTGTAGAGGAGGAAGTTATTTCGCTCCTGCATCGCGTTTTAGAAGTAACGGCACCCATCCTCACTTCTGTTAACCTTTGCACATCAGAAATCACGAGACTATCGGTGGAGCAAGAGATTTCAGACGCAATTGGACCCCTTGTTCGTGAGTTTTGTGTTAAAAGGAAGATTTCCATCCCTAACGTCGCCGAGTCTTTGTCTCAAATTGAGAGACAGATTGAGGAATGTGACAATCTCCAGTTTGCAGACACAAGTGAAAGGAAGTTACATATTCCACGCTTGTTTCGGGCAACCAGTTCAAAAAGCCTCAACAGCTTGCGCGCATACTACATGCATGCAGGGAGTGAAATCAAAGCAGCTCATCCACTTCTTGGCTTGTTTTTAGATTTCCACGATCGTCTTCCTATGGTTTCACACCTCAGTACCCTTCTTATCTGGACCAGAATTGTGGAAACTCAACTGAGTAGACGGATAAGCCGACAAGAAGCGTCCAGGTTACGAATTGGAGAGATTATCCGTGGCGAACACCATTCTAAGAAAATTACTGATGATGAAAAGGAATGGCTAGGAAACGCCTTCAAGAAGTTTAAATCATCCTGGGAGAAGATTCGTCCAGCTGTTACTGAAGCAATAGGAACAGAAGTGCCACACATGACCGAAATGTCACCAATTTCTCTTTGCCTGGTGGAAAGAAGAGATAACGGAAAATTTTTATGCACTGCCCTAGAAGTTTTGCAGGAAATCCAGAATGACTTTGTTCGAAAGGTACTGGATATTGCAACGTCTAGAAAATGTCCAGCACTTGGATTCTTGGAGCGAGAAGGAGACTCAGCAGTTGTCCAAGTGGTACACCTACAAGATGCGCAAGAGAAAGAGATAATACATTATCAATGGTCAAGTGACATTTTAAAGCATTCCCAGCACAACACTGAGTATGGCCAGGGTAGAGAAATACTTTATGACATAGGAAGGATTGAAAAAGAATTGGCTGTTAGTTTCCTGTTGGGGAAGTCGTACCTGTCATCTGCTGGTGGCCTGCGCGAGTTCATGTTTTCCAAAGAGCTATTTCATGCATGTAAAGGTATTCTGGATGACCTAGAAACAATAGTACCACAGCAACCATTAACTCAGGATGTCCAGGCTGGTCTGCAACGTCTAAAGGAGCGTAGCCTCAAGGGTGTGCAAGACCTTCTGGAACACATGGAAATAGTTCTTTGTCTCCTAAAGAAACATGAATCTGGAGAGCCCAGTGAACCCTTGATAGAATTCACGGATCGATGGCTTGCAGATTCAAGACCATTTCCAACATTTCTTCTCCCAGAACCACGTAAAGCCGTATTGCTGATGCACGTTGTATCACTTTATGAATTCCTGGAAGATTTGTTAGCCGACTCGGCCACAGAAGGCATTCACGACATGTACCGAGAAGAACTGCCAAGCGACACAAGGGAGCAGATGTCCATTTCCATTGAGAACAACAGTACCGTGGGATCTGACCACATTCCCCTTGCGCCAATTACTATAGCTCTTCGTCGCTTCATTTTTCGCTATATATCAGCCGAGGAGACGCGACCAGAACCTGGACTATCTTTAATTGAGCACATGGTGGAGAGATCCCTCTGGCCCATGGAGATTACCATAGAAAGAAAAGAATTTAGCAATGAACAGTGGAAAGAAGCAATCAAATCTGTTTTCCCGGAGGTTCTAACACTTGGCCATATCCATGCCGTCTTGGGCCTTTACCAGGACCAAATTAAGGTTAGTTCATTTTTTTGCGAAATAAGATCCTTTTTATTTGTCAGCTGATGGACGCCATGAAATATTCCTGAAAGATTAAACTTTAAGAAAGTCCTCCATCAAAACGCTAACATATGCCACGCCTTTGGAAGTCAACATGATAAGCAACATTGAGGTATAAAAAATAGAAATGCCCCCTGTTTTTGCTCTGGGGAATTAAAAACTTAAAACGGTAAGCTACGTGCGAAGTCGACCCAAATGCTCGACTTTTGGCGGTACACAACGATCATATTTTTCAAAATTGATCTGAGAATGTCAAAAAAAACTGTTTTAAAACAGTATCTCCAGTGGTTTGAAATTTTATACCTGTTCCTTCTTCCCAAAAGAAGCGTTCCAACCTCTACTTCCCGGGACATTTCTATACAAACATTTCCCAGCCAACAGACACATCACCCGAATTTCACACACTAAACACTCTTGTTGCAGTGATTCTACAGCTTCAGTGGGGAGAAAGGGGAAAAGGGCTGATGGGTGTGGTCTCAGGGGTTATTTTGGTTGTGTGTTCCATCTCCAATCAAAGTCATTTATTTGGCTTACCAAATAATTTATTAGCACAGTCATTCTATGACACGATTTGCACGTATTGCATACAGATCTCCCAGGAGAAGAAACAACTGCCACGAAATCAAGCCGCAAGGAATAAGAGAGCCCCTGTGTCCAGAGCCCGAATGCGAAAAACTCTTGGCGTTAGCTACTCGTAGAGTCCTCTTGTTTCTGTGAAACATGGGGGTCAAAAAAACAGGTCCACGTTGTTTTTCCTTTAGGTATTGTAGACAAATAGCTTACGATTCTGTTCTATTATATAATCAGAAAGCTTTACTAAAAGTAGTCAAAGTTTATATAGAACAGCAGTTATTGACAGATGTTGCGAGACGAGATGTTTTCAACAACAGAATGATAACTATTTTTTAAAGTTTTACTTAGATTATATAATTAGAATGTTTTCTTGAAAGAAGTCGAAAGTAATATAGAACAGTAGTTATTGACTGATGTTGCAAGACGAGATGTTTTCAACAACAGAATGATAACGATTTTTTAAAGCTTTTGCTAAGATCGTATAATTAGAAAGTTTTTTTGAAAGTAGTCGAAAGTAATATAGAACAGCAGTTATTGACTGATGTTACGAGACGAGATGTTTCTAACAACAGAATGATAACGACTTTTAACATTTTGCTAAGATTGTTTAATGAGAAAGTTTTACTAAAAGTAGTGGAAAGTAATATAGAGACAGCAGTTATTGACTGATGTTGCGATTCGAGATGTTTTAAACAACAGAATGATAACGACTTTTAAAGTTTTGCTAAGATTGTATAATTAAAAAGTTTTACAAAAAGTAGTCGAAAGTAATATAGAACAGCAGTTATTGACTGATGCTGCGATTCGAGATGTTTTCAACAAGTTTTTTTGAAAGTAGTCGAAAGTAATATAGAACAGCAGTTATTGACTGATGTTACGAGACGAGATGTTTCTAACAACAGAATGATAACGACTTTTAACATTTTGCTAAGATTGTTTAATGAGAAAGTTTTACTAAAAAGTAGTGGAAAGTAATATAGAGACAGCAGTTATTGACTGATGTTGCGATTCGAGATGTTTCCAAGACCAGAATGATAACAACTTTTTATAGTTTTCCTAAGATTGTATCATTAGGACGTTTCACAAAAAGTAGTGGAAAGTAATATAGAACAGCAGTTATTGCAAGACGAGATGTTTTCAACAACAGAATGATAACGATTTTTTAAAGTTTTTGCTAAGATCGTATAATTAGAAAGTTTTTTTGAAAGTAGTCGAAAGTAATATAGAACAGCAGTTATTGACTGATGTTGCGAGACGAGATGTTTTCAACGACAGAATGATAACGACTTTTTACTTTTTGCTAAGATTGTTTAATTAGAAAGTTTTACTAAAAGTAGTGGAAAGTAATATAGAGACAGCCGTTATTGACTGATATTTCAAGACGAGATGTTTTCAACAACAGAATGATAAAGACTTTTTTTAACTTTGTGCTAAGATTGTATCAATAGAAAGTTTTACAAAAAGTGGTCGAAAGTAATATAGAGACAGCAGTTATTGCCTGATGTTACGAGGCGAGATGTTTTCAACAACAGAATGATAACGACTTTTAACTTTTTGCTAAGATTGTTTAATGAGAAAGTTTTACTAAAAGTAGTGGAAAGTAATATAGAGACAGCAGTTATCGACTGATGTTGCGATTCGAGATGTTTTCAACAACAGAATGACAACGACTTTTCTTAACTTTTTGCTAAGATTGTTTAATTAGAAAGTTTAAGTAAAAGTAGTGGAAAGTAACATAGAGACAGCAGTTATTGACTGATGTTGCGAGATGAGATGTTTTCAACAACAGAGTGAAAACGATTTATTTAGGCTGCTGGGTGTACTTATTCAGTAATTAAAGTAATATTGGTTGATATTGTTCGATTGCCCCAGTTGGTGATGAAGTTAAAATTCATAATCACATTGCTTAGCTGATGTTGCGAGTCGAGATGTCTTCAACAACAGAGTATGCGAACTCAAGGAATATGCTATCAATAAAGTAATAGTTTATATGCACATTATCTGTTAGTCAGTCGTATCTGTAACCGTCGTATCGAGTCGTAGTATCGCTTCTTGTACCTTCTCTAATGAAGAAACCGACTGTTCTTGAGCATCGGCGTTGGTCGATGTTTTTGTAGACTTACAAGGTCAGTTTGTGGGAGGCGCCGTGGCTGCATGGTTAGTGCGCTCGTCTCCGGATCGAGCGGTCCGGGTTCGAGCCCTGGCCGGGGGCATTGTGTTGTGTTCTTGGGCAAGACACTGTACTCTC